GACGTCGCCCAAGAGCCGTTATCCAACCGACCCCAGGCGTTGTGCGTGTGTCCCAAGCTGGGGTTGCACAACATGCCGAGGACGGACAAATCTCGAACATTCGTCCATAGTGCAGTGAGTTTGCACCTGTCACCTCCGAAACAGCAGTGATGGAACTGGACAAAACAAAGCTGCTCAGACAACTGACTTGCTACACGCTTCATTGGGGATGTAGTCCAGAAGAGACTACCTGCAGGGTTTTCTACGCTCCACATGCAGCCTGCTGCTGCAGCTGCTAGAATTGCTTTGGCGCAAAACTCATATAATAAATTTGCACGGCTGACTCGGACTTTGTCCCTCATGCTCAAACCTGGCAACCCATCGGGGTGAGTGAAAGACCTAAGAGGCACTGGTGCCTGCCTGCCCCTGGCAGGAATGCTCCTGGCCTGACTGCTTGTGCTGCAGGGGGGGGCCAAATGCACTGACCAAACTTTCCCAGACCTAATCATGTCCAGGACCAACTGACGCCCGGACTCTTGCAACAAGTTGACTTGCAGGACTCGCATCTCGCCGCCGACCCTACTGTCCACTGCCAAAGCCTGAAAACCTACAGCTGCCAAGGCAGAACTGAGCCTGGCTGTCCCTGCAAAAACCTCCAGGCACACGAGTGAGTCCACGGATCGCCGGGACGGACCAGCAACCTGAGAGGGCTCATGGCACGCGGTGGAATGGCTCACTGCTTCTGAAGTAGGGGTCAAAAAAACGGCCGGCGGCTCCAAAACCTCCTTTTCGTGATTACTGGCTACGCCTGAAAAAGCCTTAGTCACTGACGGTCTCAACTTTCCCTGTCCCTCTGGGACTGCTGGACGAGCACAAGACGAATGTCCTGGCGTTGAAAACTGCGGACCTGGTTCCTGCAGGCCCGCACCTGTGGCGGGGGCGGGATAACAAAGGGCGTGTCCTGACACTTGAGACCAAGATGCGCCCTGCCTGTCCTTATTTGCTTGCGAACAATTCTGCAGAGGAACTGAGATTTCTTTGCGGTCCTCAATCGCCGGGAGTCCCCGACAGGAGGCTTGGTGAGTGCAAGGTGCTGCTGGCACGGGCACAGGCCCCTGGGGCAGCGCGACAGCACCTGAGATACTCTTGGATGGCCCGGCGCTGTCCGGCACTGGACCTGAGGACCCTGGTCGCCCTAGTCAATTCTCGCAAACTGCAGCGCTGTGTTTGCCCCCACACTTCATGCACAAGTGGGCACCCCTAGCGCAGGTTGGATTGTCGTTGACGTCCTTGCACTCCAAGGTGCAGCCGTGGGCCAGGTTGAAGTTAAAGCACAACCTGATGCCCTCCCGAGTGCCACTGAGCCCCTTCAGGGCGGCTGGCACATTACTGGCTGAGCGGGCACCTTTCTTTTCTGGCCCCTTACCGCCAGGACCGCGCCCCCCTTTTCTTCCCCCTTTGGGACCCTTGCCCCCTCCTTTGTCCTGCATCTGATCCCACGTTCGCTTGGGCGGGGGGGGGGGGCTTGGGGAGGGGGAACAAGTGAAAAACAACCGAGGGTGCTGTGCATGCTGAGAGCTGCCCCCTGTCTGGGCAAACTTGTGCTGGACCTGCTCACTCACTAAGCGCCAGAGCTCCCTGTCGGCTAGCAAAAACTGATCCAGGCCGGGCGACACATACCCTGCTGGGGGGTGACGATGGATGTGATCAAACAACGTACGCATACTTGTCTCGTGGGCCTCGTACTTGCACACACCCGCGACCTCGAGCGCCACTCCTCTGCGACAGACAGCCTGGTAGACCCTGAGGTCACTGGTAAGGTCCACGCGCGCACTGGGAGTTTTGCCCCCAACCTTAAGGGCGTTGTTTTCCAGCCTGATCAGGGAGTCATCCCTGCGCACACTGGTGACTTCAGCGTCACGACTGCTACACCTGCTTGGCGGAATATACCTGATTGCCTGGTCTCTGATCATGGCAGCACATGAATCAACGAGAGCGTGGCTTGGTTCGAATTGCCCCCCAACGGGCCAGCTACCGAGCCTGGTCCTGACTGAGTCCAGCCTGCTTGCCCTTTCTTCCGGGCTCAACTTTCGCGGAGCATCTTCAGGCGTCTCTATCATGCTCTTAAGCTCTGCAACAACCAACGTTCCTGCTTCAAATAACAACCTGTTGACTGCAGACTTCGTGCTGTCACTCCTGTCGGCAACTGGAAAGGACTGAATGACCTGCTCAACTTTCCCTTGCTCAACTTTGTTGGGGGCCGAGGCGACATGAAAAAGAAGTGCGCTGAATGTCGCCAACCTGGACGCCTGAAGGACGTCTATGCATGACTGAGGCAGACCGTATTGAAGAGCTCGGGCTGCAAAGGTTGGTTCGCTGTCGGCCAGGGACATCCTGCGACAGGGCACAAGCCGAAACAAGAGAAGAAAAAAACAAAAACAAAAACCCACAAGGGTCAAACGTGCCTGAAGACAACAGGGCACGGCCAGCGCAGACGCGGCCTGCGGCAGGCACAAGCCCGACCGCTAAGAACAAAGGCAGCACGCGCAGCGCCTGTGGGACCTGGTCTCCAGCAGATGGACCTGGCCAGCCAACACGCACAAGCGTGGGCGGGAAAAGCGGCAAGACAGCCAAGCCTGGAAAACGGGCCGCGCGAGAAAACGGCTCGAGCCACAAGGCAGCGGCAAACGAGAGGCCTGAAGCCGAAGCCCTGGCAAAGCGCAATTGGCACAACCAAAACAGCGATTGCTTACACAACATTTTGGCACAAGCCGGACTTGCTCAAACTACGTCGTCAGGTGACCTGAAAAGGAGCCGAAGCTGTACGATCCACCTGGAAAACTAAGCGCCACTCCTGGTTCTCCTGAAAAACTGAACGTTCACACCGACACCAAGGGCCATGCTAGAGTTATGACTGCGGGCTTCTGGGCCCAACCTGGAATGCCTGAGGTCAGACACTTGACCTGCGTGCCTAAGGAGCTGCGGCGCCTGAGAGGCCTAGGGCCCTAATCTGCATGGCACTCCAGGCATTCATGGCTTTCATGGCCACGTCTGCCTTGGGTGCACACTGTGCGGCTACAGGATTTGCCACAGCGACGCTCACAGGGTTCTAAACAATACCCTGAGAGCCTGAAGCCCTGCAACCGAAGGGACTTTGGAAGATCTCGGTGCCTGTTGTTGCAAAGAGGCAAAAAGACTCGGCTCTCTGGAGAGCCTGGGGCGTACTGCCCGTCAAATCCGACAACCTCGAGGGGGGCGAAGAGCCACCCCTGACACACGCCCACCTGACTGGGCGGCTGTCCTGGAGCATTAAGCCCATGGCGCTGTGCCAAGTTGGCGAAACCTGGCACACTTGTAAGTGGACAGGTCCTGCCAGGCCTGTGCGGCCCCATGCCACACGGGTCTACAAAGGGGGGCTGAGAGCCGGGCGCTGAGGCACCTGGCACCACCAACTGGCCCTGTGTGGCGGTCTGCGTGTTCTGAGAAACCAAAGGAGGGGGACTGGCCTTGGACTGGGGCCCCGGCGCCTTGGCGGGTCCCTGAGAAGCCTGAATGGCCTGACCAGTTGGTATGGCCTGACCAGTAGTGGCCTGACCAGGAGTGGCACTCTGGGGGCCTTGCGGTGGCTGAGTGCCTGAGCTGCCGGTGTCACCGACTGTGCCCTGACTAGCTACCGTCCGGGCTTTGGACGCGGCCACCAGCGCCTTGCTAACTGGCCCGCCCGGAGGAGCTATCCCCGTTGCAGCTGCTTGGCCACAACTACGCTGACCATTCTGGTCAAGCAAGACGCCGGAGGAGGCTGAAGGCGCGGCCCTTGTAGCATCCACTGCCGGCACGGACTGACTGGGGGGCATCTTGGCCGGGATCTTTGGTGCAATCGGCGTCGAGTAGCCCAAATGGCCAGCCAGTTCGGTGACCTGCAAACGGGCCAAGACAAGGCGGAGGCGGGCACGGTCCAAGGAGCTGACGCCTGACAGCGCCTGGCTCATAGCCCCGTCGCTTTGCTGGAGCAAGGCCTGGAGACCACTGCGAGCAGCCTGGAGCTGAGCTGCAGAGACTGGCGGGCCACTGACGGTAGGCGAGGCCGCCGGGATTGCTTGGATTGCCTGTCTTGCTGCATCTGGGCCTGGAGGGCCTGGTGGACAGGATGTCTTCGCAGTCGCTTGCTCAGCCTTCGGTGGAACTGCAGCCTGATCGACCTGCTCCACTTCCTGCTCCGCCTGGGACAGGGCCTCGAAGTCAAAGGAGGCCATAGCTGCACAGAGAGCTGCTTGATGTCAAGACTCGAACTGAAAATTTTGGCGCTAGAGCCAAAATGGCACGAGTTCAAGGACACATAGGCTCGTACAAGTACAAGCAACAAGAAACCCAAATCTAGCCCAAAACAGGCCCCCTTGGCACCACACCCAGGGCAGCATCAGCAGCATCAGGGGGGCCCCGCTTCTCCTTCGAACGTCTCAGAAATACACTTACCAAAGAAACCCAAATCTAGCCCAAAACAGGCCCCCTTGGCAACGATGGTTTTCCCGGCACCAGACCGGGGATAGCCGAAAAAACCCACCAAAATTGGTCCACCCCCCCCCCCCCCCCCCCCCCCCCCGCACCCCCCCCGATAACCCCAGGCTCACTTCGTGAGGTATTGAACGAAGCTCCCACAGGGGGAGCTTCGTGAGGTATTGAGCGAAGCTCCCACAGGGGGAGCTTTCGTGACTACGGTCGAGATTCGGCTGATCATCGACGTCTACCGTACGTATCCGTACGTGTAGTCCACACTCAACCTTTCAAACTCTACCTTGACGCGCAGTTGACGAGTCAGTTCGAGCCAGTCCGTTTCGAGAACTCCCTCAGACCCTCAGAACTCCCTCACGGTCGTGCATGCCAGGTTGGTGCGACACTAAGGAGTGAAGTGCAACTATGCTTCTGGCATGGTTTGTGATAGAATGGCAGCAGGCTTCACTTACACGTAAACTTACTTATCAGCGAGTCCGAAAGGACAAAGCGTGAGGCAGCATCATCTGTGCCTCGATCTTCTGCAACTTTTGCAGGACGGCAGCAGGACTTGGCCTCTCCTCGGGCTTCTCATGCCAGGCCTGCAGGAAAAATCTCGATGATCCCTGTGACAGCTACTTGCGTGGGCTCGATTCGGCACAGCTTACAGTTTACCCTCAATTCATCTCGTTCTTGTAAAGAGTAGCGGCCTGGTGCAGAAGATCACGGAGCCCGGTCTCCTTCACAGCCTCGGCACTTCCCAACAAAATAATACCTCATAACTCATAATCTCTAGCATAATCCAGCATGAATTTCTTTAAGGTTGATAGGCATCGGAGACGCTCGGCAATGCTCACTCGGCTCGGCCCGCTGCTTGGAGACTGGGCCGAGGCACACGGCCCTCTTTGAAGGCCTCCACACATAAGTCGACACAAGTGACATAGCCGGAGAGCCCGGAGAGCCCGGAGAGCCCGGAGAGCCCCCGGAGAGCCCGGAGAGCCCAGATGGCCTCCATGACATGGTCAGACGGCTTGTGCCTGCCATCGTTGTCCAGGTGCTGAAAAGGCCGCATTCCTCGCAGGTCGAGGCGGCGTCCCTTTTTTTCGGACTTACTTCCAGCGGCCTGGTGTGATCTAGCACGTGCAGCAGAACCCAGCTCTGTGAATATGCTGCTCCTGTGCACATGAGCCAGAACACCAGGCCCAGTGCGAAGACATCGGCTGCAATGCACTTTTCGACCTCTCACGGGTCCCACGGAGATGGACCCGGTGGACCCTGTGAACTAGCATGAACTCACGCTGCCCGAAAGACATCATTTGCTCGACCCCAGCCTCGTCACAGGGCTCGCCTGCCAAAACCTGTCAGTTAAGATTTCTGAAATACACAAGTGCGGAAGTGCCCCCCCAAAGTGGGGCCTCAGGAGCAGAATAAAGGCAGCTCTCCAAACTGGGAGCCCCAACCTCTGCCTGAGTCGAGAAAACTTCGGTGCTTTAAAACAAGCAACCATGCAATAAGTACTTATAAGTGTACTTATATAAGTGTACTTACATGCGTGCCCTTGGAAGCGATGGACCTGGTGCCTGTGTTCAATCGGTGCCAGAGCTCCTGGCGACACTTCGAAGTCATGAAATGGTATAGTTCAAAATTCAGACACACAGGCACTGAAGGCAATGAGAAAGTGGCCCCATAACGCGCACACACGCACACTGACACACTGACACGCGCACACTGACACTGGACGATTGCTCTCCTGAAGGGCTCAGGCGCAGTGCGAGGCTGGTACCTTGCAGATTCTGGCGTGGGTCAGCGAGGGTCCGAAGTCTGAAAGACAAATAATTAAGACAAACACATCGGCGTTCTGTACCACCAGTTCGCATCTTTGGCATGGCTGGGTTTATGCAGCTGAGCAGCAAAGGAGGAGGTTTGATGGCCTCAAGTTTCCATGGGCTATTGGCGGAGTCAGCCCAGCAAGGAAGGCCACAGCACCCGCAGCGCTTTTGGCCCAGCTGAAGAGCAAGGACCTTCAAGCCACAAGCTTCCCATAACTTCCCTCTCGATCGAAGGTTCTCGCCGTGCGCCTCGGTGGTGTCCAGGGTCGATGCAACTCTTGCCGCTTGCTCCTTTGAGAACAGCAGCAGATGAAGAACTAGACGGACTCAGTGCAGTGGATGCCCGGCCTCAGGTATCGTTCGAGATCGCCTCCCGACATGTACTCCATGACCAGATACACTGGCTCAACGTCAAAGCAGGCACCATAGAACTTGGCAAGGTAAGGACCTCGAAATCGAAATCGACACTCCGAACATGTCTGTGTGCCTGCCTGCCTCATACGAGTACTTTCAACAGCTGTTCTTCCAACATCCCTTGGTTGCGGGCAGTCGGCTTGTGAGAGCTCTCTCAGCAAACGGCGCAACTGCTCCTGCGTAGACAGTGCTGGGAGGGCTGGGCCTACCAGGTCACATCAAGGCAGATCAGGGGTCCTCCTTGTTGGCTTTGCTAGAACCGCAACGCTTCAAGAGCAGCGGCCGCTCCTTACCGAGGTGAAACGGCACCCAACTTCGCAGACCGAGAAAAGGGCGCAGAACGAACTTCCCTTTCCATCCAGGCTCAACCTGCTTCGCCACAACAGGGATGTTCGCCCAATAGGCAAAGAATGAGGGACTGCGTCCTCAGTGCTGCACGCCAAGACACAGCTTGCAAGCAGGACACTGTTGCCCTCGCCTCCGCCCTGCCAGGCTCCTCTCTCTGCTGCATCTATGCGGGTAGATATGGACAGATCACCTGTCAACACATGCAAATCGCATAAACCTGAATGCATCGTACCCACATGGCAGCTTCGAGGGCCTGCTGCGATCTGCCAGGACTCCCGCGTGGACTTCGGCTCGGAAGGAGCATGGGGTGGCGTGTTGTCACTGCAAGCTGCCTGCTGCAGGGCTGGAAGCACCTGCGATGGCCCACATCATTTGGGGCGCAAGGGCTCGAAAGGCTTGAAAGGGTGGCTGGCCATTGATGCTTGCAGGTCAAGGCAATGGCGGAAAGATTGCTAACATGAAGCACTTGTGCCACATAGCAAGAAGGCAAAACCAGCATCGCGGTGGTGAGAATGCGCAGCCAACGTGCAACAGACGTGCACTAAACTAAGTTATTCTCGGCGACCGGAACTACTACTGAGATGTACTACACGAGAAACTGTGCCGTAGACGCGGTACAAGATCCGAGAGCAGAAGCTGCCGGGTCTCACTTGGCGGCCTCCTGGTCGTTGCCACGCCCCTCGCCCAGCACGCTTGAAGTCTGCACGGGGGAATCAGGGGTCAGGCGCATATACGATTATGGGAGCCAATAAGCCTTCAGCACCCTGCAGTCCATAATGCGTTCATGGATTCATGGTGACCAAAGCACAAGCACAGGCAAAAGCACGACAAGATATACTCGGCTCGGGCTCATCTTTGTGCTCGCGGTTCAGATGGAATGCAAGCAACCCTTCATACTTCTCCGTATAGGAGTTACGAAAGCACACAAAGCTACCACAAACAAGAGGGATAACTCCATGTCAAGCAGATTCTTCAAGCTTTCTTACATAGAATGTGGAAGTATCTCAAAAGCAGGGTACCCTTGAGAATCGATACGTACGAATAAGACAAACTCGCTTATCCGTTGGCAAGGCAACGATTACCCTGGGCTTCTCTGAAAAAGGCAAGCGGGCAAGAGCGCGCCGAGACCTGAAACTTTGGAAGCCCATGGAAGCCTTGGAACTAAAACCCTGGATGCCCTGCCAGCAGCGGAAGCGGCGCCAGCAGGGGGGCTGAGCGGTGAGCATGGCCGTGCCGTCGAAGTCGCAACCTTCTGTGACCACCCATCAAGCACACCATTCAGGAAGAGGCACAGATGGTACAAGCCGAAGAATGCTGCAAATGTCCCAAGGACATGAAGTGCTCATTGCAAGTCGGGGACAGCTCTTTCAGCATGGAACTTGGAAAAGCCGGATCGAGGCAGCTCCCTGGGCAAAGATCCGCAGACCACATCTCACTTGTGTGGGCAGTGCTTTGGCTTTTGGGTGTCGGGGAGAAGCAGGCTGTTCGAGTGGTTGCCTGGGGCCTGTCACACTTTGAGGATCACCCCTCGAAAACATGCGGCTTTGATGCCCTTCCGTGGATCGACAAACACTCCACCGCAGGCTGCTTAATCAGTTCAATCTCGATTAACCATCTTCAGTTAGTATACACACTACGCAAGTGTTACGCTAGGTACTTCGACCACCAACAAGAAACAGCAGCAACTGCTCAAACCGGCGAGTGGTAGCCTTCGAGGTCTGAGGCCTTCCTGCAGTGATCTGGCAGTTACGGGGTTAGACTTGATCATGAGTTGGGGTCGAACATCCAGTGTATCAGATCCAAATCTTAAATTGGCGGCAAACATGAGTTCGATCCGTTTGAGACGAAGAGTTCGAGACCCCATGTTCGTCCCCGCGTGGCAACGCTGGCCTCGGGCATCTTGGCCCTTTTCAACATTCTCCGAACATACGGTTTGGACCCCCGAGTCACATGCTCCTTGCGTTCCAAACCCGGCTACGAGCATCAGCAACAACTTTGAGGTATGGAAGGCCATGCGGTGTTCGCAAGTCGTTTGCTGTGTCTTGCATCCTGCATCATGCAATAAAGTGAGCATCGTCGAGACCTGTGGCCCCCGGGCCCCAAAGCCCAAAGCTAGTCCCAGCTTCAACATGCTTCTGTGTGGCGCCAACCCCCGTTTATTCGACATTCCACCATACCTGATGATGTAGGGCTTTGGCTTTCAATCTTTCAGAAGCACGGGCCTATCAGCGCAGGCAGCTGCAGCTGCTCCAGGCGATTCTGCAGCTCGATCACTTCCTCCTGGACAGCTGGTGGCAGCGAAGTGGTAGTGAACTGGTAGGAAATATGGGAAGTTGAACACACTCCGCGCCTGTGGCACAAGGTCCTTCTTCATGCCAACAAAGAGAAACGGAGCCTAGCAGGTGCACTCCCTGTGGTGCGGATGTCCAGAAACTGTCCAGCAATGCTTCAACAATCCAACACCAGAAGATACCAGAACGGAAGCCTTGCCTGAGGTCCATAGTGGTAACGAGCCACGTGCAGCCAGTGAAGCAACACCTCGTCGACCGTCTCGCGCCTGCTCCGGCATCTGTGCATGTCGCAGACTGATCCTAACATGTTCGCAGAATGCTCAATCGCTGGTGTTTGCTGTTGCAAAAGCATGCAAGGGCATCAAGCCCATCCTGGTGCAGTCCAGCACGAAAAGCACACCATCGCGGCCATTCGCGAAATGAGACCTGGCAGCTTTCGACATATGATCAGACAGTCCTTGTGCGCTTCTGGAGCCATGCGGCTCCGCATCCAGCGCCAGCTCCCAAATGGGTGCCTTCCAGCAATGCAAATAATGAAATATTTCGATATATCAAAGCATACAAGTCGTGGTCTGCGCCTCCCACAAGTCTACCTGAAGCGCTGCCGCGTCCTCAGACACCACCGCTTTGTGGCACCTGAAGTTGCCAAAAGGCCTATCCTGAACAGTCAACTAGCACAGGCACCACGCCTGATGGTCAATGTGGGCTCTTCGAGTTCGTCTACTGTCTCCTCTGGCAAATCACGTACGCGAACGCACCACAATGCACCACATCACCGCTCATCACCGCTCATCACCGCTTTCCTGAATGTCTTGGGGCTTCCACCCCGCACGCCGTGCCAGCGAGGTCTTGCCAGTACCTGGGCTGAAGGTGCAGGTTGCACTTCCATGAACGACCTGCAATCCCGGGCCTGTGCATCCCACCATCGCAATGCTGAGCGAGTTCATGGCCGGTGCAGTAGCCCATTGGGCTGATAACGCATGCGATCAGCACAAAGCAAGAAACACAGGGGACATCTGCAGGCTACGGATGTCTGCAGGTGCACATGGCTTGTGCAGACTTGGCGCACAGTGTTCGAACACACTCTACACCAGTACATGCACCTGAATTCACGATTCGACACCTTATACCAATGCGAGAACTATGCCAGTGCGTGCAACATATCCATCATCAAGCTCTCGTCGCCGGACGACTTCGGCAGAAAAAGCTTCGGCATGCACATCCACCATACAAACATGCTGCGAGGTAGACACAGTCAATGCACATTCAGAGCCCGCAGGAGGTCGAGTCGCTGATTCTGAGAAACATTCTCATGTATCTTGAACATGACATCCCTGCTGCGGACCTCTTCCCAAAAAGTAGACGCGTCATTGCAGCATGCTGCACGACGCCAACACCCGCACGGGCAATACCTGAGCCAAGAGCTGGAAGCCCTGGCATCGGCACTTCTGCATGCTTATGCACTGCTTGTGAACACTGATGCACACAGCCTGGCACACTTCCGCACACTTCTGCAACCCAGTTCGGGGAGACTAAGGCCTGGACTAAAAATCACAAGGCCAGAGGCGAGCACCAGCTCTGTCCTGAGGCTCAAGTCTACTCACGTTCTGGCACAACTCTCACCTGTCCAGTCTGCTGGATGCCCATACAGGCAGAAATGCGAGAGCCTGCGTATCCACAACTGCCAAGCTGCTGTAGCTGATGAGTAATCTTGCAATCACAACTTGCTGACCCAGGAGCCAAACAGGGGCCGCGCCCGCCGCCTCAATTTTGGCGTTGTGTGCTTATTCTACAAAGTGCTTGATAGTGCTTGCACTGTGCTTGCCCCCCTCACAACATGTTGCAAGAATGAAGATGGGTTGGTCCTTTCACTTGTGATTTCTATCTGCACTCAGTGCATCACGTGCGGCTTCTCCACTGCGCTTTGTCTCAACCCAACCAACCCATGCGTGCTGCTTTCCGCACTTCGACAGTTCCGAGCCTTGCGACTTCTCCAAGCTGTTATGATTCAAGCTCTTGCTTCTCGAGTTAGGCTGGAAAGGCCTTGATTGCACTTCTTCGCTTGTTGCAAGGAATCGGGGCTCTCCACTTTGTTCTGGGTCTGCCGGCTACGAACAGGGCATTCCTGAGTAGCTCTGATCTTTGCCACAGCAGAATACGTGTTCTTCATGTAAGACCCAGCACGGTCAAGGACAGCAGTAAGGAGAAGCTGCAAGAGAGCACAGAAAGAAGTTGTAAGCATGCAGGAAAAGAAGTCACCAGGGAACGTATTCCGGATGAAAAAGGCCACTGGTAGCGCACTCCGCGCCGACAATGCGTACACTTAGGAATTGGCACAACGGTATAGGAGGGCCAACTGTTTCAACCTCTCAATCCAGAACATATCTCAACCTTGCACTCGCTGACTCAGCAAGGCTGGCGCACCACCCGCGCCATGTCCACACACGTCTCGTTGCACAACTGAGTTGTAGGTAAAGCAACCGCAAGTGCCCGCCCTGCACAGCTCATAAGCCATCGTCTTCTTCTCTGTGCGCGAAGGGATCCGGACCGAGAAGCTGGCTGGACACGAATGGGGAAGGGGTCAACTGCTTGTACTCCCCCCCCCCGCGCTGCCTCCCAATGACCAACTTCTGCACCGCGCGATAACCTCCTGCTTCCCCTTCCCCTTCCGCCTCCCCTTCCCCCCCTCCCCTTCTCTTTGCCCTTGCCCTTGCCGTTGCCATTCCTCTTCCTCCCATAACGCCCAAGGCTACTGCACTTTACACGTCGCTGATTGGGGAAGAACTTCTTCTTCTTCTTCTCCTTCTTATTCTTCTTTTGTTTGTATGAATGCTGCCCATGATGTGCAACTTATGTGGAACTGGAAACAGCTCTGAACTGGGCCCAAGCCCAATCCATACATTTCAGCATATCTGTGATTGGCATTGCAGGTCAGGGAACTTACTCTAAAGTAACAGGGTTGAAGAGTCCACATGAGGCCAGAACAAGGATTGCAACCGACAAGCGTATTCATTGGAGGGGGGAAGCAGGATCTTCAGGCTACACCCCGTCGCAGGATCGCACACATGAACCCGGAAAGTACGCCTTTTGATGTGTTGGACTGGCGATGAGCATCGGGTCACCAGTGCATCCTCCATCCCGCCTTCAAGCTCTTCAATTTCCGTATCGCTCTCTGCAGCCACGTGGCCCAGAGCTGAAAGCCTGCCACTAGCACCAGTTGCCCCAAAAGATCGCCCAAGGGGACGAGGACTTGGACCAGCCCTCGGATGCAACTCATTGGCACACGAGATATCCAATTAACTTGAGAACGTGGCTACAGCGCCCTATACCGCAGCTTCTACTCAAAATTTCCGACGCATCGAACTGCTGCAGGGCGCGTTCGGACCAAGTGTAGGCCAGGCCCCACAAAACCTGAGAGGGAACGTGTATAACGCGGCAGAATCAGGACCAAAGCCGATGAAGTCCTTCGATCAAGGCACTGGTGCAACGATTGCTCCCAGCTGTGGCGAAGCAGCAATCAATGAGTACCTGAGTTCCGTGGCCGATGCCAAAGCTGTGTGCCACTGATGCTGAGCCCCTTCCAACGCAGGAAGCCAAGTACGCTTGCAAGCCAACGCGACAGCAAAGCTAGTGCCTTCATTTGGCGGGACAAAACCAAGACGGCTCACACGTGGAAACTGCAGTCGCCCCTCTCCCCCCGGCACGCACCCCTTCCCACATGAGTGGTTTAGACCTCCGTGGTTGCTTTTGGAGGACGGCCACTGCATGAGCGCAGGCAACAGCCGCACCCTCCCTCCCGCCTGATGACTCAAAACCCCGCCCCTGCTTTCTGACGCCACTGTCGCAGAAACTAAGAACATGCCCAGCTTCTTGCACAAGCTTTCTCAGCAAGAAGATATAAGAAGAAGATGCAGTCCTTCTGACATCCTGAAAAGCCTCCAGGAAGAAGCGGCAAACTTTCTGATGAGGAAAGAGCTGCTAGTATGTTCAAGTGTTCAAACCTGTAGTGTAACAAAAAAGTGTCATGCCATCCTGAACCATGGCACAGCAGCGCTGACATCCCCTGCACATCTCCACAAGGTTGCGCCGCAGGAACGCACATGATTGAGCTTTTGCGCCGGTCCGCACAGCATGCACAGCATGGACACATTGCTTCGCACAGGCAACGGATGGAAAGTTCTGAAGTACTGCCCTCGCACTGCGCTCGCCTTGCCTCCGCTTCCAGCAGTGGTGCCGCTGGGGCAAGCGCATTTTTGCTGCTATGGGCACCTCCAGACTGTGAGGTTGGCACTCAAGGCTCGGTAGGCTGCTGGATCTGCCTGGTACCTACAGAGTCACCTGTTGCAAAACCCCAGAGCTTCCATAGCTTTGGGCAAAAAGGGCCCTTCCGCTTCCCGACGACATGCGAGTTGCCAACTGCATTCCAAGGCTCCGAGGCCGATGAAAAGCACAAGCAGAACACCGAGAGCGGTGGCTGAAACACCTGCTTTGTGCTCGGGAGGCTTTGAAAATTTTGCGAGCTTTTCCCCCCCCCCGTGATCATGAGTTGGCCAAAGTTGGCAACTGCCTCCGCTGCTCTGCGCAATGGGCTGGTGAAGCTCTCCAGCATCAGAGTCGGCATTCCAGAAACGCATGGGTTCACACCGTGAGCTTACGACTTGGGATCAGCTGCGAGGCCTTGTGTGATAGACTGCTGGAGCTGAAGGCTCCCAAAAAAGAAACGATCTGAAGATCTGCTGCAGGTCTCTCTGGGCTTAGCTTGACAAGGCAACAGCCTGACCATGTGTCTGTGGTGATCTGCAATGAGCCGCGTACGCCACGAGGTTGATTTGTACAACAGCCCTCATATCCTTGCTTCTGCACAGCTACCAGACGAGCCAAGACCATAGCTTTTCGTCGCAGGGGCGAGAGCCCGCACAACTCCTGGCAGTCAGTTTTGGTTTGCAACTAAGTTGGTGATGTTGGGGGAGGGCTGCATCCACTCCGTGCTGATCAGAGAAGTCAGAATGCTTTTGGAGTATTACTCAGTACTACAGTACTCCGAACACCGGCTCCTTGAGGGCAGACAAGACCTCTTCGTCACTGTCCACCTTCCGGATCCCCAACCCGTCGAAGTTGAAACATCGAAAGGCGAATGCGAACAAACCAAAAGCCTTGCCATGCAGCGATAGGTCCAGGAAAACGAGAGCGACAGAGGGCAGCTGAGCAGAATCCAGCCTGCAGAGCTTCACACGGTGGGCACATGACCACGTTCAAACCGGCATACCCAGAAACCGAAAGCTTGCAAATGAGAATGTGCTGCAGCAGTATCCACCGTGCAAGGCCCTCGGCCCACCCTAAACGATGCGCCAAAGCCGACTGAGGAAGAACTTCGCAGTGCGACGACCTGGCTGCTGTGCTTCTCACAGGATGCACAGAAAGAAGTGAAAGAAGTCTACATGGCAGCTGGCATACATGGTGCCAACTAAGGCATTGAGGCAAGGTGGCATTGGTGTTGCACAGATTTGAGCTTCTGACCTTGCATCGCTTGTCTGCATAGGCGCGCTGGAAGCTGCACCTGACTGTGTCTCACAGAGCGGGGTAGACATGTACAATGATGTCCAGCACTGCAACGCAGTGCAACGCAGTGCAATGCAGTGCAAATCCGAGCAACACAGTGCAAAGCTGTACTTGAGTTGTGGAGCCTCGCTCTAAAGCCTCGGTCCTTTCAGCGATCATTCGGTCCAGCTCCTGGTTATAGACAGCAGCCCTGGGCTCAATCGAAACATATCGAAACACAAGGCGTCCTCACGAAACTGCACCAGCGACGCATCGGTGGACCTTCATGGCAACGAAGTGCTAGCGACAAAAGGCAACAAGACAGGATAAGAGATTTGCAATGGCCGGTGCCCCTTAGCAGTGCTGTCCAGCTCTCTTTAGTTCTGTGCAACCAGACTTCCCTTTGGACAGATCGTCACAGGCTGGGTGGGCGAGCGTGGAGTCATAACGCATTGCAAGGAGGTCACGGGCCTCAGTGTCCAAAGCAGCGAGTCATGTAGCTGGGCATATGAAGATCCAGACGATCACGATTGCAGTGTCCCTGAATGGAGGCACACCTCGGCATCTGCCACCAGCATTTCCCACTGACGCTCGAGGTCGGCCTGCCGCATTCAACTGAGCATCACTGGGCGTAACCGCTGCCAGAATCATGTCTTGACACCTGCTTTCGGCTCACCGTGGCTCAAGTTTCATCAAGTTTCCAAGCCTTTTGAAATGGTCCCAACAGGCCTTGATCCCCGCAAGCTTCGATGATCGGAACTGTGTCCAGGTGATGCGTGAGCTCGCCTGCCCAGCAGCGTAGCTCAGACTTTCTCAGGCTATTCCGTCAGCATGAGACTTCTCACACAGCTCTTCTGACAGCTAGCTGCTACACATTGCTACGTCCTTGTTCCACTTCCTGGCCTGGCGGCGAGGAAGCTTAGGTGCCTTGCCCGCGATGACCAGCGGTGCCAGTGGTGCCAGCTGTGCTGCCGGCAGCTCTGTCACAGCAGTACTCGAGCCTCACGGGCTGCGTACAGGCTGGCCGGAAAGCTCTTGCTTTCAGAAAGGTTTGAGCCTTGCTCATCCGCCATCATGTCCTGAAGCTGGTGTCACTGCCATCATGATGTCATTGCCGCCATGTCTCTGATCTCCAAAAGACTACTGTAGTATACTGCACAAGCAGACGAGCTCCTTTGACGGCGGTCAGGCAAAGAAGAGCTCAACCAAATAAGCCACCAATGATCTCTAACAATCAATAGTCACATGAGTTGTGTCGTCATGCGAACTTTAGGAGGTATACGACGTGCGATCATAGCACATGCTCATTCCGCTAGAGTACCCTTGCCCTTGATACCACGGACTGCCAGCACACCGCATAGAGCCCAGATGCCTTGCAGATTGACAGAACATGCGTCCACAAGAGTCTGGTGACAAAGCTCTGAAACACTGTCCAACTGGCTGCACCCCATGTCAACAAGCTAGATGAGCTTTACATCCAGGAACAGATGAATAAACCGTTGTTATCGTTTTGAAAGGCAGAATAGGGCAACCATAACAAGCGCATGATTTTCACGACCCGCAGCTGCCCCTCCCATGGGAGTAATTAAGACAACCATTGCTTGACTAGGTCGTGCGACATGCTCAAACTGTTCGACGCGGCAAAAGCATTCCTAAACGGACAAGAGTCGCCTGAGAGGAGGCTATGCAATCTATGCACATGCTTCAGGAAACATGTCCAGAAGTAGCTACCAGCAGCGGGCTACCTGGCACTGCATTGCAGGGTCCTTCGCATGACTTGAGCATTAAACAATCTTTCGGACACTATAGAAAATTATTCGACTCACTGCTTGCGGTGCTGAAACTGTGCACAAACATGGGACATCTGGGCTTCTAAATGGCCCAGTCTTGCTCGGCCCCCTGTGCTACTTTGCACACAGAAGGGGCCGAATGCTGCACTGCGCGAAAGGAAGGGGTATTGCAAGAAAGGCTGCAGCATTGCTTCTGCTCCGATGCGAACAGCAGGGACACTGCTGTCCAGACTTCATAAAATCGTCCGACGGAAAACAGGACTCCTGATTGGGGACTACTTTCCCCAGTCAGTTCGCTACTCATGTAAGCTTCCTAATAACTTTGCGGCGCATAGCCCTCAGATAGAACACCACACAGCACTTATAGCGCTTCGCCAGGCGTGCTGCCGTACCGTGCATGGAGCAAACATTCAACCACCTTATCAATCCTGCAGGGGATCCTAAGAAGTGGCGCAGGGCTTTCCACCGGATCGATGCTAATGCTTTGCTGTTCCATACCCTGATAAACGTAGCAGCCACAAACCTCAACCAATATTCACAGCTCACATGAGTGGAACCTGCAGCACTTTGCGGCCGCAGCATCAAAAGAAATGAAACACTCGCGCACACTGATCGAGAAAAGCCACCATTCCTCGGCTTGTTGTTTCATCGTACTGTGGGTTTCGGTGGATTGGATGACAGGATTAACTCAACTCAGGCTTTATTTCAGGGTCCTTCTTTGACCTCCGTAAGTAGAGATCCCCCCCTAGGGATTACCCAAAAGCAATTCACCAAGTCCATCCGCAAGTCCGAGAAGGGATGCCGCCGTCAACGCCACAGATACAGCTGTCGAGAGCACCGGAGAATGCAAATTCTTCATGACTCCTGGGCATGTTCGGGTCAAAGACAAACGGGTTTGCTGGTCGTAGAGTTGACAAAGCGTACTTCTCAAAAATGGCCCCTACATAACCCCCGTGTCATGTCCTGATAGTCCCCATAAACCCCTTTATACCGTTCAGGGCACGCCGATGCTGAAAAAATCTCGATGTTTGCAATCTACCCGTTAAACGAGACCCAGATTCGCTGGTAGATCCGCAGAGGCCACACGAGGCAGATCACCTTGGCTCGTTTAGCCCGTAGGACTTTGGGAGTAAAAACCGTTGCCCGGACCAGGCCCCCATATCCCGAACCTTGAAACTTGTCTTAGAAGCTTAGTCCATGAGTAGCTGCTGTGAGTATATCACCCGTGTAAACCCCGGATGGTCTGTGCCCACAAGGTAACCTCGACTGAACAGTGCAACGAAATTGTGGCTTGGGGTACCATGGAAAAGCCGACAGCAAACGCCAAATAGGAACCTTGCAGAGTCCATGTTGGACCCAGTGGCAGTGCCGAACAGGGCCCCGAACAAGCCAATCACATCCGCGAACGCCTCACAGCAAATGGCCAGGGACGCGCTGCACAGCCTGGATTGCTTTTCGGGGGGTGGTCGGGTGGGGAGTCGGGAGGGGGGAGACAAGAACTTTCGTTGAGGTCCTGCATGTCTTGCATGGGCTTAAGAAGGTTGTGCAGAGTTTTTGGGGACGCTCGGTTTTTGCAAAAAAAAGTAAGGAACAAAAAAAAACACAGAAGCCAACATGTGACTCTGCTTCGAATCCGGGCAGCAATACTGCTCCGACGACACAGGCACGCCGACACGTCGATCCTATGCTACTTCGCAATCCAACTGTCAGAATCCCAAGTTTTCCCACCCCCCGGGTAGATCAGGCACTATGCTCAAAACCGTACTCTTTACCTGCAAAAGGTCAAAAAAATCTGTGCCACAAACATGGTCCCCTTGCTTGGTTCTGCCGTGGTAAGGACTCTACTGTTTGGCTGGGGCATATAGAAACGCCGCTTCTTGCTACCCAAACAATCATGAACATAGCCCAAGATCTCCAAGACCCCGGCTGCGGGTCGCTGGCCTGCCGTCGGAACCTAGACTCTCAGGGACATTTCGCAACAGAAACATGGTGCTCAACATAACAAAGGCGTCTGCTAGGCGCTGAATCGCGGGCATTTCATGTTGTTGCAACTACGACGGTGCGGATGGTGTTGACGGCGGCAATGGGCTCTACACTTGAAACGCAAGAAGTGTCGAAAGTCTTTCAAAGTGACAGTCCAGACACTGGGGCCAGAAGAGCCGGCCCGCCAAAGCTTGGATAGAGGCGGCCGCTGGGGACAAGTTGATCGGCACCCCGAAAATCACGGGCACCGAGTACCTTAGAGCCGGCCCGCAACCTCCCTTGGCTGTGGTGCAGCCAGTGCTGTAGTGTCATTAGACCTTCTTGCCAAGCATTGAAGTGGAACTTGAACATTGCTAGCTCGGCTTCTTTGAGGTCACCCTTATGAGGGATAGTATGGGATAGAATTACTACACTTGTCCATCGAGCAATTCCCTCCACACACCGTGGAAGTGCAAAACTTACGAGGCTTCTTGCTGTTCCTGAGAATGGTGACCAAAGGTCACAAGCCCTGGTTATTTTGAAGCCGGGCACACGCAGCGGACCAGTAGCATCCAGCCGTCATCAGCCGGGTAATTGCGAATGAAGTCTTGCTTCGTCGAGGCCCCAAAGGACAAATAACCAGCTGTGGCGATCGAGGCATAAATTACAAACTCCTCGGCTCTGTGCCCAGTCTTTCAGACATCTTTCTTTTTTGACGCCCCCCAAACAAGCAACAGCATCAATCTCAAACGCAGAATGAGAGGAATTTTTCAAGCTACGGATACCCTGAGTGATCCGAGGAGTATTGAAGGGATCGTAGGCGTCCATTCTCGAGATATGTGCCCGAACAACTGGCAACGATCTTGCAGGATAGCCCTAAACTAAACCCACAGAGGTTCATGGAGCAAATCCAAGCAAAGTGATAAGAGGTGGGAAAGCCTGAAACATACTGGATCCGCAAGGATATTATCTTACAACCACATTTGAGCAAAGTCTATCCTCCTGGTCACTTCTCGTGAACCTCATAAAGTTCGAAGCCCACACTCCCCCTGCAAACGTACGTCGCTCCTCTAAAACCAAACGCTAACCCGGAAGCCCCAAACCCTGAACCTATACACTGTTCAGAAACCCGTACCCCATGATCTCATGACAAAGCAATTTCAGCTGTGATTCAATGAACACCGAAAGGAACGAGACCTGCCAAATGCGCACCGCACGAGGCTGATCCAAAGCCATGGCCTGAGGCAACCCCTCCCTTCTTTTTTTGATCTAAACCACAATAAACTGCGGACTGCAAGGTTCGGGCGGTTCAAGTAAGTAGAACCTCCCTTGATCTGGATGTCTCTCGTCTACTGAGTAGGTGGTCAAACCAGTGCCTTCTTGACAGCCACCCCAAGAAAAGGGATAGTGAAAGGAATTGAAGCTATATTTGACGGGTCTGCGGCCATTGAAGGTGCTGTGTTATGCATCTCATGAGTGTTGGAACAAACAAAACGAAAAACAGTTTCTTTGAGAAGCCCCGACACCACAGGAACTGCGTTGGTGTGCGCATTGAACCTGCCGGGTGGGCAGACTTCAGGAGGGGGGGTGGGTTTAGGGCCCTCGAGTGTAGTACTTTCTGAGCATACTGTCTAGGGATCCATTCCAAGTAAATCCCCTTGGCAGCCCAGGGACGAAAACAGAGCCATGGCAAAGGATTGCAAGACCTCACTTCGCAGAGTTTAGCATGGATGGGCTGAAAATAGCCTGGAGGTCAGAGTGGTTTGAGGCGCTTCTGTCAAACCTTTCTTCGTATAGGCGAAACATTCGTTCCAAAAGCCTGCCATTCGGATCAGAAGGGCAGTCTGGAGCCGCCCACCCGCTTGCCAAGCAGGTTCTGCTGCATAGGTTGGTGTCGCGAGGACATGCGCTGGCATTTTGGCCACGACCACTGCAGTCAGAAATACGATGACGCCTGTACTCAAGAAGGAGATGTATCTCAGCGCCGTGACATTCCGAGGAATGGAGAGCGGAAATACGCAAACCAGCGAGGCCAGGATGAGGTGCTGGCGTGGGACGTCCGCATATCCGAATAGAGGGGACTGCGCGATGTCTGCAAAGAAGTCCCCAATCAGCATCATGTAGATGAGCACTGCTGCCATGCCATAGAACATAATGACCTAAACTGCCCCGCCCCGCACCCTTGGCCCAACAACACTGAGCATTCTTCCTTATGATTGGTTTCAAGACTGCTACCTGTCATTGGTGCTCTGGCATGGCGCCCGTATTGCCCCTACTCATCCCGACCCTTCCACTCCACGTTAGACAAGGTTTTTGCATTCAAGGTCCTCGCGCGGAAAGTTTGGGGCCATGTAAGTGTTTACTCTTCGTGTACCTGAGCGGCCGTATCCACCAACGAGTTCCGGCTGGCGCCACCCCCATCCGCTGCCTCCGCCTCACCTGGCAAAGCGGATCAAAACTCTGAACCCCCGAGGCCCTATCGCCGATCCCACAACTTGTGCAATTCTGCCATACACAGCAGATCCTTCCCTCTTGCTGACTCTTGATGCCTGCAAAATCGAACACCCTGAACTCCAAGTGTCCATGAAAGCCCCGTGTACTCAAAACTATGTAGATTCTACCAAGGTCAAGTTCAAATCTGCAACTAAATTCTTAGCAAAGCCGCATCAACCTCCCATTGAACTCGTACCTAACCCAGTCCCAAGGCACTAAGAAAGACAAGCTCCGCGAATGATCGGCATTGAGTGTATCCTCACTGAGCTGTTAGCGCGGTGGTTGCGCAAGTTTGGCTAGGTTTAGGCTGGGGGACGGATCAAGGTGGTGGAGAGCGAAACCTCAGCAAATCACATGCCGCGTCAATGATGCTACCCAGTCATTCGAAGCCCTGACCTCTGCATTCCCTTACGACCAGATGGAAGCCATGCTTATGAAGGAAATCTCGCTAAGCATGGGCAAGCATCTGGCGCAACTCATGAGAATTACCAGTGACGTGTGCGCGAGCACGGCGCCACAAGCCAGCAGCAGAATTCCCAAGCAAACGCCAGTCTTGCCTGGCTCCAAGCTACGCCGGCCGGACGTGTCACGTGCTGGAGAATTGGGTTTTTGAGAATTCCGGCACTCGGGTCAAACAAGTTTTCCGGGCTTAAGAGACTATGGCAGAAGGTCTTTTTACAACTTCTGGAAACTCTCCCCCGCTAAACAAAGCCAGCGGCTAAACATGTGGGGCAAGGAGAGGCAGCCGGCCCCCATCGCAGAAGCCACCAAGGTGAAAACACCTGAACATGCTGACCGGTGCAATGAAACCATTGCAGAACACGCATTGCAACCCATGGCTTCTTGTGATGTGGGTTTCTCTTCTTCTCTCAATACGTCGGCGTTTTTCGTCGCCATGACCCCTGGACAAAGCGGAGACAAGCTGCAAGGGGTGAAGGCATGGGGACATTTAGGCAGTACCGGAAGCAGGGAGGTTCTCATCATATCTCGAATCCGGACCCTCAGCTTCTTCAGATCCACAATGCGAACGAAGCACAGCTGAGCATCGACCCTTGACCTGTCCAGTGCGACGTGGCGAAACCGACCGCTTCGTCAATGGTTTCCAGAGGCTGCAGTTCGTGGTAGATCAGGCCTTCGAGGAACATGCCCTTAGCAGTTGATGTTGTAATCTGATCTCCCCACATTGCCGGGCAGAGTGCCTCGTCCTCTCTTTGCTTTGTTGCCCCTGTATTTCCAGTTGAGGTGTTGTTGTTTTGTGGAAGTTACCTGTGCCTTCTTGGCCTGTGCCCTTTTGGCCTGTGCCCCCTTCCCTTCTATTTGCTGACAATTCTCCGTTTGGACTGGTCACCACTTTGAAAGGCCAGAATGTGATCTGAGCCATGCCTGTGAAACACTATGGAACTTAACTACAGTAAAAATCTACAGTCCTGTCCGAAAATCAGCCCCATGCATTTCTGTCGCACTCCAATCAACACCGAAGAATCCAGACTGGCACGTCAACAACCCAACGTCAGCGCAAGCGCAACCTCCACAGCTTTGCGGCGCATGCGCATGGTATTCCAGGGAAACCAACAGATACATACAGATACGCTGTCCAAGGGGCACTTTTGGCACATGAAGGCTGTGCATCGATGTCGACGAACAAGATGTCACTGGAGGGAGCCCGGCTCAAAGATCTTCTGGATCTGGTTGTGCGGTCTGGTGATGTATCCTTGACGCTGAAGCTGTGCAGCGGCGAGTACTCTGACACCCATTCAGTGGACGCCATGCGTGAAGGCTGTGTTTGGATGTTCGGGTGATCACAGACACCCTTTCTCAATGGCATGTCGATGTTCTGACATTCCCCGAACACGTGGCTGTGAGAAAGATGTCGCAATCCGTGGGTTTTAGTGGCTTTTCCAGAAAGCTGTTGCACGTGCATCATAACGATAATACTTGAGCCGTTTGCGCCAAAGGATTGTCCAAAAGGAGCTGGTACGAGGATGATGAAGCTTCAGGCTTCTGTGGTTCTCGATGCCCCTCGCAATGTTTCAACCAGCCTCGCTTAACGGTCTGCCTGGCCAGACTGGAAGTAGCGCTGCAAACGCTTTGACGGTCTTCATCCATGTGCACCTCTCTCCCCCCATCCACACCCCTCCCTCCCGTCGTTGCAAGTGTTGCTGCTGAAACAATCCAACCAAGGCTCGTCAGAGGCAACAGGCATGACACCGAGGCACCACCGGTACAAGTGACACGCAAGTTCCGCGCTTGGAGCAACTTACGACCTTGTGACTAATTACTGGACAACTTAACAAACTTGAAAGCTGACCCAGGTGAACTGTTCAAATATTTGACCCTGTGCTCGAGACTTGCACGTACGTGCACCTGTCACACTCGTCACACGCACAAACTCTCGGCAGATTGCGACCCTGCTCAGTGCAATTGGCCATGCCAGCACGCACCCGTCTTTTCCCAATCCAGCGACGAAGGAAAAACTGGATCGGTCTGCACAGCACCAGCTGAACCGAGCCGTTTGGGGCCCAGCTTGGCGAAACACTTTAAAACACGAAAATCATCGTTGTACAGCCGCATGCCACAGAGTGCGTTCCGAGCATCAAGCCGCGTACGGGCTTGGGCCCGAAGTGTACAAAGCACTACATTGCTGCACCCAGGGGTGCGGCAAAACACCTTTCTGCACAAGAAGGAGATTTGGAAATATTTGGGAGCTGGGTGCACGTCAAAGCCAATAAATAATGGACTTTCAGTGGTCCCAAGCACCGCTGCAAAACAGGCCGAACATGCACTTCTGCATAGGACTTTCGCCTGGCACGGGCAAAATACCTGGCGATGCCATGATGGCATCGGCTTAATGCCCAACTCTGAAACTCTTTGCGCACGAGGTGGAGGAGAAGCATCCCGTACAATCTCCGCGACTCTATCTCCCCAATACATGCACCAAAATCTGTACAAGCTCAGCACTGATGGAGAGTGACACCCACAGAGGTGCAGGTCTCGCCAGTCTTGTTAATTGAAGCAGCATACCTTTCCCAGAACCTGGGCCGCAAAAACAGGCCAGACAAGTTTCGAATTACCTGGCAACTACCACTCCAGACACTTCTCACGACTCTGAAATCACGGTAAAAGGATCCGCAAAGTCTGAAAGCCACGGCGCATAATCGGGTCATCGAGCATCCCAGTCGTTGGACAGGATAGGGGTTTGTCTCGTTCGGCACACTGGGTGCCACAGCCGCCGCACAGCATGTAACCTTGGGAAAGGTGAGAACACGACACAGCCAATCCAAAAGAGACCCATGCCATCCTATGTTTGGCTTTCATGTTGACCAGACAAAACGGCTCAGAAAGCTTTGACTGCCCACCTCTAGACTACCTGGAAGTTGAAGCCACTGGAGCGTGCAGAAAGGAACCCTTGCACCCTTCACCAGACCAAGTTGCAATCCTGCGTTTTCTTGATGGCCTGGCCCAGCGGGAGGAATCGCCAGGGGTCACGATGTGTGGTGTTTCAACAAGTCTTACGAACCCACAGCTCCAAACCAAAACATACTAAAAACAAACATCGTGCTGGGGAGTGGGAATCCACAGCACCCTTGGACGGTCCAAGGCCAGGATGTTGCAAGCCAACAATGACTGGGTACGCAGTGCACACACACACACAGACACACACAGCCTGGCAACAGGCGGCCACCGTGTTCTCGTCGCTGAAAACTTTGCTGTACCCAGTCTCACCGCAGACGGCGTTTGTGTTTTGCAATTCTGTGCCGACGCAGGTCACGATCTTAGATTGCAGGCAAAGCAACTGTGCCAAGAGTAGGGGTCATCTATGAAAACTTTGCATGTAGTTTCACAGGTAGTGATAGACAACAACCATGTGATGTTTGAGTGGTGTTGCTTTCTTTCCAAGCCTTCCACATTCACAAAACCTAAACCGCTAAACACGTTTGCTCGCTTGAGAAGTTCAGTCTCTTGACTTGTGATTCCTCGACGTAACTGTCAGGACAGCTTGTCCGCTTTCATTTGTTTTTTCAAGGGGTCGGTGTGTCTTTTTGGATGACCCTTAACATCAATCATTGCCCAAGCCACGTTGTCCCTGGTGCAGCCGCACCCGGCGAGCATCCTTTGGTTGGCCCGCAAGCTCAAGTGACGATAACGCAAAGCACTGAACAAAATTCTCAATACGGCTCCACAACAAGATGTTCGCCCCCTAAAACGCAATCAGCATGACCCCGCAAGGACCACAGCAGTCATGTGGCAGAGCCAGGGCAGGCAGCCCGAAAGCGAGAGCTGGGTGGCTCAGGGAGCATGGCGCGAGCCGCACAGGCTCAAGTGAGGCACCAGGCATCCCGTTCAGAAGCCTTTGAGCCTCTAAAAGCCGTGAAAGTACTGCTGGCAAGTGCAAAGACTCAATTCACATTAACCTAAACCGTTGGGCGCGCCATTCTCGCGCCACTATCATTCCCCCTTTGCATGTGTGCTCGTGTCGTGTTCCGGGCTTGCCGAATACAACTTGTAACCCCATGCGAACTGGAACGACAACCAACGACACCGGAAACAAAAGCCTCATTGTTCTCAGGCGCCTACAGGGTCCAAAACCCGAAGGGTAATGAACACAAGACAACAAAAATACTGAAAGCATGCGAAAAGCTCAACAGTA